CAATAATAAAAGCATAAATAGCCTCAACTCTGCAGCTGCTTCCCTTTGCTCTCTCTCATAATTACTTGCAAATATTTGAACAGTATCAAAGTGGATGCAGCCAACAGATACAAATTCGATTGCATTTGGAGAGGGTATTACGGGTGAGGGGGGCCGGGGGCGTACCGGGTTGACTTCTTGAGTGGCATGCTAGCAATTTTTCATTAAATATATTTTGGCAACAAGGGCAACTAATTTAGCCACGCCCCGTTGCGATCTGTAGTGCCGCATCGATTGCGCAACGCAATGTTTAAGCGTAAATTTCATAAAAAATAACTTCGGAATACAATTTACATAAAATGGGTGTTTTCACCCTTGGGCTACTTAGAGCCAGAGCAGCTTAGCTTAGGGAAGTTCAAATTGAAATTGTATTTGGTATTTGATTACGCAATTGGAGCACTTGAAAAAAATGCGCTCGAGTTGTTTTAATTTGCATAAACGTTTTTACGCTCAAGTAGAGCTCAGCTCCCTCTTGGCAAATGGGCTTGGATGAGGGAGAAGCTTGAAGCAGTCATGTGACAAGCGATCACACATACTGAGATCTATCGGATATATATATATGTATGTATCTATATAGGCATATAGTATGTATATCTCAAGAGCATATCTTTATGCTTCGTTCCACATTATTGTCCAATTAGCGTCAATTGGCTGCGGCTTAAGAAAAATGTTATTTCGAAAACTTATCGCTCGATTGGCATCTAAACATTCGGGATAAGCGCGTACTTATCTTTATTTAGATACGTTTTATGCCAGAAATGTTCTTTATGTTGCCGATGAATGGAATTTACTTCCTCTTGAGACATAACAATGCATGAGCGGCTATATCAGCTATGATCAGCGAGATAGAATGAGAGTTGAGCACTGAGGAGGAATTTCAGATACAAATTGAGCAATTTTATATTATTTACGACTTTACTATTGATCTAATTAAACACTGATAATTGATTGATAAAAATCATTGTTTGGGTATAAAGTAGAAGAAGATGAAGGAAGGAACCTACAAAAAAACTGCCTTCAGTAATAAGAGTTTCTTTCTATATTCTATACATTCTATAAGACATGAACTGTGTTCCTTCCTTACTTCAATTCTTTTTCTTCAAGTATATATTATAACTTTTTAGTTTCGGGCCAAAATATGAAAGAACAAAACAGAATAATCCAGCAGGATTATAGGTAAGAAGAACCACACTTTTGATATAAAACCCAGCTTTATTTCCTTTCGTAATTCATATTAGCTTCCCCACTACTTTTCAAACTGCCCTCGTTTGTGGCAGCAGCTGGCTTATGTTTATTGGTTTTCAAATAATGTCCGAATTATGAAACAAATTTGCGAGCGTTGCAAATTGCAAGGGGCCGGGTCATTGTTTGTTTGCATTTTATTTATTTTTGTAATATTTTCATTTCTTTTAAAATGCTTCTTTTTTTAGCAAACGCAGCTCGAATTTCCAGAAAATTGAAAACTCAATTCGATTCAGTTTTTTCGGCCTCACGTGAATCGCTGTAGCTGGGCCAAGGTAAGAGTCGCAATTAAATCACTGGCCAATGCAGTTTTTGCATGGCAAAGCAAAGAGCAAAGGGGCAGCGGCAGTGGCTGGGGCGTGGCTAAGGTAAACAGCCAGGTGCTTCATTCTGTGCGAAGTTAACGCTTGGGCTCAATGAAAGGTCCACACATCGATTTGCATGGCAAAGCACAAATTGAGCGCTTGATAGCGAGAGTCAGAGATGCACATAGGCATGCATACGCCCTATATACCCTGTAAATGCAAGGCAAATGTGGTATGCCGGGTGTAAAGTGTGCAGACAGCAGTCATTCAAGTCTATATATATTTAACTATATATTATATTTAAATACATATATCCAGGCCAGAACAATTTCATACCCCAAATCTAAGTGATATCTACTTTCTATATGCCCTGACTATTTTCCCAAGATTTCTATATATTGTTATAGTTTTGCCAAACATAACCAACTTCTATATATCCTTTACATTTGCATATATTTTCTATTCTTCTCCTTCAGGAACTTTATCGCGCTCTAGCTTCATATGCTTTACAGGATATCTGCTAGTCGACTAACAAGCATCCATCGGCACTTTTGCCAACGGAAGCGCCTGATTAGGGGTTCCTTCAGCCTTGTTGTTATTGTTATTGTTGTTTGTTTGCTGTTGTTTGTATGCGTGTCGCTGTTTTTCATTCTGCATGTTTTCTGTTATTTTTTTGCGCTCGCGGCGAAGGCGTCGCCCAAGCTCGAAAGACCCTCTGCTGCTAGCTGCTGTAGGATCGAGCAGGACAGGGCTGGGCAGGGCAAGGTAGGGTTGCTTAGGCTGCGGCAAATGTTTGTTTGCAGTCTTACAACTGAACAGGGGGCAGCCACTGAACAGGAGCAGCAGCAGGAGCTGTGGCAGGGGCAGGGGTTACGGATAGGGTTTTTTGGGCTTAGGGTTTGTGCGCGCTTTCTTTGTATTCGCTTTCGTTTTTTACCTTTTTGGCTTGTAATTTATATATATGTATATTGTATAGTATATATATACATATATATATTGTTTATTGTTTGCATTGTTTATGCCGGCTATCAAAATACAAATTATGCACACGCCGGGGCGCTGCAGCGCAAGAGAGAGGGAGAGGGAGAGGGTGCGGGGCGAGGTCGGTCGCCATGGCCTTAACAGTTGCAGTTTCTATTGTTGCTGTTCGTGTTATTTGTGTTGCACTGTACCCAGAACCAAAGCCGTAACCGTGTCTGATGCGCAGCAACGCCTGCTGCCTGTGCCTTCCTTTTGCCCTCAGCCCTTGCCTCGCACTCATATGTTACCTCAAACGCTGCCCGGCCAGGCCCACCTTCTATTTTTTTTTTTTTTTTTTTGTATGTTGCCTCCCGCTCCGCCTTGCTGCCAACATCATCAAACGGCGCGTTTTCAAGTTGCGGAAGCAATTGCGCGTGCTGAAGTTGTCGAATGCCTCGAATACGTACACAGACTGCACAAAAAGCTTCTCTAGTGCCAAAAGCAAGGGCGCAAAACTCTCTTTGCCCAACGGCTGCACTCCTGTACGCCCACCTCCCCACCTCCCCGCCTACCCAGCTGCCCACCTCTGCACTCTCACCTACCTTTCGGCACTGCACGGCTCGTTGGCGCATTTCAAAGCTGAGCTGCGCAGCGCGATTTCTGTTTGCCCAAGCGCTTTAAATTAGAGCGCTGCAAAAAATTTATCGTGTGAAAGTTGACAGAAGGGAGCGACGACGAAGACGACGATCCTACGACAAGGACTTGCCACATTTAACTTTGATTTATTGTATAGGTTTAGCTATATATATATATATATATATATATATATATTGTATATTTATACCACCCTGACTAACATTGAATGCAGCAAGTTTCTGAAGCGTGTCCCAAGCCCAAGCCCCTATACCAAACTTATAGCTCGAGCACCCCCATCCACTTCAAGCCACAGCCCAGGTCGTTCTTAAGTAGCTTTCAGTTTCAAGTGCCCCAGCTCGTACGGGGCACTCACACACACCCAAACAATCTAGTTGATAGCCTTTTGATAGACGATGCCAAACAGAAAGCAAATCAAGGCCAAACTAATTAAAGATTGCACAAGCTAAGCATAGAAATGGGATTGATATAGGGTCTATTAAATGAGGCGGGTGTGTCCAAAGAACAAATGAAGCGAGATATGTTCAAATAGTATGGCAATATAGCAATGGATATATAAAATTGGTTATCAATTTCAGGAGGAACTCGAAACTATCAAAGGCTGGGGATAATACTGCGGAAAAATATAGTTTCTCCTGGATTGGTCACGCTACTTTAAGATTAGATTTAAAAACTTTAAACAAAAAACTTGGATAACTTTTTCAAAGGATACTTTTTATATATGGACTCAGAAGAGTATAATAACAAATCCAAGCAGTGAAAATAAGTTATTATGCACAGTAAGCCTATAATTGAAGGCCTTTAATGTTGTACAGGTGCATAGATCTATGGAAACCATCCTTACTATCCTTACTTAGATCCTGAAATTAATCCGCTGCCTAAGCCTAATTGTAAAACTCAAGAAATTCTAGAAAGACATATTCGTCTGCTCAATATTTCCTTTAATATTTCTTAGTATTTCCTAATTGATGGTGGCTATGGCTACCGCTGCTAGCGTCGCTGCCGGCTGCATTAAGCAAATGACGCTGCAATCTTGTTAAACACGCTGCGAGGCTTAAAAATCAATTATGGCTGCACAACCAGCGGCGCGGCGTCGTTTATGGCACGCAAGGTGCTTAGAACAGGTAGAATATAGCATAAATTACGCACCTGTAAGGGATTAGCATTGACCTTGCTGGCTGCAGGTAAAGAGCTATTCACTTGCTGTTTATTGGCTTTTCGCAGCAGCAACAAAAGTGCCTCATAAAATTACAAGTGTTTGGAATTTCCAAAGAAAGCAACGACAACAACAATGCACACAGGCAACGAACTTCAAGAGCGCAAAGAGAGCAAAAGCTGCACGTGTGTGTGTGAGAGAGAGAGGGAGAGCAAGTGAGCTCAAGCTGAGCCAAGCTTAACGCCCCGAAATACTTGGCTATATTAATACTTAATTATATTATAAGAAACTGAAAAGCCAAATTACTACAAAACGTATTTAAGAACAGCTGGAAAATGCAAAAAGCGCAAAACATGCAAAACAACAATAACGAAAGTCTAGAAACTAGCAAATAAACAAACGCGCAACGCTGACGCCTGAGTGAGTCACGGTCACACGCACATACACATACACGCACACACACACATACTGCTACACGCACAGAGAGTGGGAGAATGAGAGCGTAAGAGAGGACAGCGCCCCAAAAGAAACAACAGACATGTCATGTCATGTAAAGCTTCAGGTTAAACGTCTGTTAATGGGGGCGCAGTGACGGGGTTAGCAAATGTTAGTAAATAATTCAAATAATACGGAATGAGACGCACCCGTTGGCAATATGGCATTGTTCTCGCGACGCCATGTGATGGTCGGTGTTGGGTAACCGCTTGCATAGCATTCCATTTGCACCTCGCTGCCCTCGCTGGCCACTATCGATTGTGTCGAGTTATCGGAGATGACGGGCGGACGACGCACAGATAGCTTGACGTTGGCGCTCACTTTGTGCACCGTCGAGATGACCACCTGACAGGTGTAGGTGCCAGCATCGGTCTCCTGTATATCCTTGATCTGCAGCTTGTAGGTGGAAGAGTTGGGGTCGTAGCGCAGCGAAAAGCGCGAGTCTTTAATCACCAGCGTTGAGCCCGTCGATAGGAAGACTGGATCCGAGTCGGTCTTCAGGAAGAGCACGTTATATTCTTTGGCATATTGCACGGAGCAATCGAATTCAACGGTGCCGCCAATATCCTTGATCTGCTCCTGTGTGATGTACGAAATCGTTGGCGTTCGTTGCGCCTGTGCACATGCCACCAGCATCAGCAGCAACAGTGCATGCCACAAATTGTTAATCTTCATTAGCTCAGCTTGCCACATTTTGGTTTAATTTCGATTTGTTAAGCGCACACCTATTTCGCACCACACCCTTTTGTTATTAATTTGCAACGGCCACAGCAACTTTTCTTAACTGTTCAAGAAAAACGCGCTGAAGACGTGCCCAAATATATATACAAAAACAGTTAGCTTTCTCTCTTTTTGTTGCACGGCGCAGCGCGGATGCTGAACGATCGACACACACTTGTTAGCTCGCTCTAAGCTGGTTTCTTACTTTATTTCACTCAAACAGCGTGTAAGTGTGTGTGTGCGCGCGCGCTCTTTAACTCGCTCTCACTGTTGTCTATGTGTAAGCCCAGTTTACTTGAATTGCAATTATGTTTCAACACACACACACAATTCACTGACTCTTTCTCACTTAAGACGTCTGCACACTTCGGCTGTCACGACACGAATGACTCGAATATTAAAGCGCGGCGGCAGCGGGCGCTTGCGTAAATTGTAAACCGCTATTAAGAAACAGATACTGTCAGGTATTTTTACAGCACTGGTTGTTTGAGCATTTTGCGTCGCTGTTATGATACAGAGTTTTGCGTCGCTGTTAACTAACAGCGTTATACTTATCGATAACTATGTTAACATAGCCGCGTTAGTTTTCAATTTAAAAAGAGAACAGCTTTTGATTTAGAATTGTTTAAAATGTATTTTTATTTACTTTTTTCATTTTTTTTTTTTTGTAATATTCTCCATTATTCTGTGGTTAATTATGTATAATTTATATAAATGTCTGATTTTGTTGGTTTTTTTTTTTTCATCTTATTTTGTTCTTCATTTGCCTTGCGATTATATGTAATAACATGTTTTGTTTTTGTTTATATGAATGCATAATATAAATTGATATATAATTTAAATAGTATCGACATAACAATGGATACCTTAACCTTTTTTTGTTTTGATTTTTTATTAAACAAAACTCAGCTTTTTTGTATGTATATAACATAAAATACAATATATCCAAAATATTAAATGTATAAACTTTGGAAAGTTCTCTAGTTTCTCTTTAACTTCTTCCAGCTCATAGATGTATGTATATAGGTATATATAGATTGCATACTTTATTTAATTATTATATCGTATATCAAAGTGTCTGTTTTTTTAATAATTTATTGTACTGCTGCCTTTTTCTTGAGGGGGGATTAAATTTGAAGGAATCAGCATTTAGAATTTGATTTTATGTTTTTTGTTTTGTTTTGTTTTTCTTTTCTGATCAACAATTTCTAAGTTCTAAGTACATAAATTTCTATTTAGTATTTTGTATGTATATTTGATTTTCCATTTGTTTAAATATTTTGCACAACTTCAAGTGTGCAAAAAAAAAAATCGCATTTAACAAAATTGAAAAACTTCTGTAGCAAAAGCAAAGTAATCCAAAAAATAATTAAGAGATTCAAGAGACTTCAAGTGTACGTATATAAGATGTTTTATAAATTATAATAAGATAGTATATAGACTAAGTTAGTCAATAAATAAATTGTTCTAGATCAAACATAAGATTTAAGTTTTTTTTTTTTCTTTAAAAAGCTAAGCGAGAGCCTAAGTATATCTATATATAGAGTTCTATATATGTATATGCATATGCCCAGTTAGAATCCATTTAGTTATTTTGTGAATTGAGACTCCATTGTGCAAATTGCTCCTGCCATTGGCTATTCGCATTTGCCTGGAAAAAAAAGTTAAATAATTAATTAGAAAATTTTTTAAATTGGTAATACTTGACTAGGAAATATCCTGAACCCAGCGCAGAGCTGTATTCTAATAATTTTAAAATTCAACTTTTGTTCTAGATGAATTCAGATTATGATATTACATCTGGAATTACCTTTCCAATGGGTTCAGGATATAAAAATAGATTATATATTTTGGATATCAATAATTATATAGCTACCCATAACTCTAAAACTTTAGCATGCAATACCAAAATACAAAAGAAAGTGAAAAAAATTATATATATATATCGAGTTTATATCATGTTTTACACAAGCTACATACATCAATAACATCAACAATAATACATATATAAATATGATTGATCATATTTTGAGTGCATGTCGAAACAAAAAAGGATATTTTGTATATATATATGTAAACAAAGAAGAAACTGTTTCTAGCAGGATTTCTATATCGAAATCCTTTACCTTTTCATTCCATTCGGGATTATATGTTTGGTTCTCATCGAAATCTGAAATTGTGTGTGCAAATTGCATGAGTATCAGTTTTATATATTCCAATAACTAAGCCTAAGCTAATCAACCTTTTAGCACATGTCTTCGGTATATTCTATAGATATTTCAGCTAAATACAGTGAAACTCTGATATGTGCCACAATGAGCTGATTCGAGAGTGGAGAGTGGAATGCCAAATGAACGATCAGGAGAACGAGAGAAGGGGAGATAGAGAGAGAAGGGAGACTGAACGAGAGAGAGAGAACTTCAGATACAGGTATTTATATATAGTATATATGAGACGACTTGAGTGCAAAATGAAGGCTAGACTCGAGACAAGGCAGGCAGCGGCGTAGTCTAAAAGGGATTTCAGATGCATAACATCATTATAGAATAACTTCAGATGTAACATAATACAACTACTCCCCTTTTTCGACTACCCCACTTCCATTGGTATATCATATTGAATGGTTTAGGTTTATTATACAGGAAATAAACTCCATTTGGAAATCCAGAGTGTTGATGCAGATGAAATTACAATCGAAATGAACGGTAAAACTAACGAGGCATTAGGCATAAGGTATATATGATTTTTATAGCATATCATTAGATACATATATATCACATACATATATATATTACCTGAAGAATTGCTTTTTGTCTTTTATATATTCAAACTATATTTCATAATGTAAGCGTGCATTATCAATTGCAGCTCATCGATTGTCTCACCGATCTCATGGAGGGCCGGAAAGCCCGCCTCCTGATCATCGATAAACAATTCGGGATGATGACGATACGCGAGCAGACGATTCAATTCAAATTGCGCTTCATCAAGCGCTACATCCCCATGGAAGGGATCTGTATAAAGGGGCGTGGTCAACGCCGAGGCAGCGCCCTCACATTCCACATCCTCGTGCTCATTGCCGAAAATCTGCTCATAACTCTGACAATCGCAATCGCAATCGCAATTGATGGACGAATTAGCTGCCGATTCGCGACCCTCGATGTGTCGATATTCTTCAAATTGGGTTTGTTTTGTTTACGATTGGAGTTATATATAGGTGTATATAAAAAACGAAATCAAAATTAAAAAGAAAAAACTCAACTCAACATTTGCAGCATTTTTTCTTATGCCGTCTATTGGGGAAATAATCTATAAAAAAAAAACAAAAATACGAAAAGAATATGAAACAATAAAACGAACGTAAAGTAAAGAAAACTGGGTGGCAACGCTGTACGCGCAGTTCGAACTCGACGATGTTTCTTTTCGGAAAACTTACCCAAAGGCAAAATGAAACGCGTTTGCGGCAAGGAGCCGACGACGTTGTTCGATTGTCCTGGAGCAAATACAGCAAGGACAAACGCAAAAGAAAGCAACACACAGAGAACACACAGTAAAGCACAGACAGACATAGAGATAAAGAAATAAAGGGAGAGAGAGTGTGTGTATGTGAGATAGAGATAGAGAACATTCAATCAGTGCCTAGAAGCCTGGGTGCTCTAGCCAAAATGCAGTGCCAAAAGAAAACAAACGAAAGCAGCTCTAAAAGCCAGGTGCAAATTGCAGGTGATAAAACAGGATATTCATAAGCTATATATGCTATGTCATATATCAAGCAACTAGGAGCAGCAGCAGCTAAAGCAGAGCGAGAGGGCGCGACAGCGAATACGTGTTTCGAGCAAAATATCAATTTTCGATTTGTTCGATTTTGGCTTTTCGAATTGGGAATTTCAGATGTTCTTTGGTTTTTAGGAACTGCTCAGAATTACCTGCATTTAGATCGCTGACCATCGTTGAAATGGCCGATGTTATGTTGTCGGCAGCTTCGTTGAGCTCCGCATCGGCAATTGGATTGGCATTCAATATGGGCGACGGGGCTGTGAAGCCATATAATATATATGTATATACATATATCGTGGGCATACATACATACATACATACATATATTTAAAGCGAGAGAGATTTGTAGACATATTTAATATTGGGTGAACTATAATCGTGTACAACTGACATCAGAAACAAATAGGCGTGTGTCACGAAACGCTATTGAGTGTGTTATCGAAATTTTATTTTTAGATAATAGATCTATAGATATATGTATGTGTGTATATAAATACATAGCGAAATATTGTTTATAACGACAAGTTTTTAAAATTATCCATATTCTCTACCACAAATTAGATAGACTGTTATCGGTTTATCGATATATTCAATGCATATCGATATGTGTAGATTATTATTATTTAGAGTGGCAAGTCCATATGATTATTTATATTTTAATTTTCGGGGCATATTATCAATAATCGTTATCGATATACGCGGTTCGACAACGATAACCTTCAATTCAAGTTATTCTACCAATTTTGAATATTTATCGATACATAGATTATTATCGCTAACCATAGAACATGGTTAGTGGTTTAATCCTGCCTTATGAACTACAACAATTTATCGATAAGTTTCAGAATTTGAAAGGAAAATAGCGTTTTCGTAACACACAAACATACGCAGCTCTAAAGTGTGTGAGTAGACAGTGGCTTAGTGGATCAGTGGGCTAGTGGATCATTTGATCAGTGAGTATATGTGTAGGTGTATGTGTGTGGCAATTGTGAGAGAGAGTTTAATTCACTGTGTGTGAAGATAACTTACATCATATCTATATATAGTGTGTGTGAGAGATAGCGAGAGAGAGACAAAGAGAGAGAACTGAGTTTAACCTAGCAATCAAATGTGTTTCAGCCAACCTAAACGAATTGAAGAAGAACCCAGAGCCCAATATCCAACTCCATTTAGGAGAGTCAAGTCAAGGTAATCCCTGTAAAGCCCTTAAGGTCGAAATACTCACTTGCACTGCCATTGGCGGCAAAGGCGCTGCGCATATCGCTGCTAATCTGATTGAGCTGCTCCATTTGGCTCTGACTGAAGCTGGCGGAAGATTGATTTTGTTGCTGCTGCTGTTGTTGTTGCTGTTGCTGTTGCTGCTGCTGCTGCAGCAACTGTTGCTGTGTCGAACGCAGCATGGGATGCTGTTGCAGCTGCTGCAGCTGTTGAGCATGCAAAGCGCTCATGGCACCGCCCCCAGCAGCCGCTGTGGCCGCACCTGCCGCCCCGCCGCCACCTGGCATCGGTGGCGATTTACCTGAGCGTGGACTCGAATTGGGCGTGGAACGTGGCGAGGCAGTCTGTTGATTCTTGAGCATGCGCATCAGACCCTCCAGCTGTTCCATCAATTGTCGCCG